TGCCTGACAGTCCCTCCGAATCGACATAAACCAATATCCAGAAGTACATTTTATTCCAGTACCTCAAAAAGTTCAGTGAACGGAGATATTGGTGCTGAGAGAAGTGATGAGCACGAGCAGCTGATATTGCGCATGTGTGTACTACCGAACGTCCAGATACAGCGGTCGGATAAACAGTACAGAACCGAGAACTGTTTCTTTCAGACAAGTTCGACATACTGAGAGCTGACTGAGTTGATGAGCTGAGCATGCGTGCATTTATTTTTCTGAGGGACGAAATGTACGTTCCCATGGCTTTAGTTGAACATCAGTAAGTGTAATAAAATAAAACATTTCGGACACGTTCGATACGGAGAACCGATGAGCTGGAGATACTGTGCATACGTGATAGCACAGCACCGTCTCTGAACAGAACCAGAGAAAGTCTAATATGACGAGAACTCCCACTCACATTAAACTTCCGGGTTCTGAACTGTTGCAGTTCCACTCTGGTTCCATATGAGGGCGCTCATAGGCGGAGTGCAGAATGAATGGAGGTCTATGGAGCAATACCCCTAAAAATCCACTTTTCTCATGATATAATTTTTTGTCTAGTAATTCGAATGTTGTTTTAGAAAGAAGATGCAAATAAATTACACATTACTAGGTGTTAGATTTTTTAGAGTCACTTATTTGCTTTTAAAAATGTCAATGACGTCATACACATCGTACAACCAGAGGCTTGCTTTACGGCAATCCTCCAGTCACTGGTGCTTCCGCGCATTGACAGATGAGAGAAGCCGCGAAACTTAAAAATACTACTGTTGTTGTGTGACGAAATGTGGTTTTCATAGTTTTTCAGTCGGCAATGTAGTTGTTTAAAGCTCAAATCTGTGGTTTATTTATAAAAATAGCGCCTATTTAAAAATTTGATCTGACGTTTTCGGAGTGTGACATCCAAGGCTTTACCGGCGTCTCAGCGCTTTGCACCCCGCCTGGATCAGCCTTACCTCGGTTAGTGCTTCTGACGTTTGCCGCTGGCTCTGAAGTCTCGTCTTGTGGTTAAACATGACATGTAATTCGTCTTGTGTATATCTAACGGGCGATCTTTGGTCTCATTAATTGATCATTTTTTCCTTGGAAAATCATTTTGGCTGACGGCAAAGTGAAGTTTCATAACTTTATATTGTGGCTATTTTAATGTTGTATCCTGCTGTGTCTGAACCGTTTACTTTATTTCTTGTCTTGTATAACTCTTCTTATACCTTTTAGGCTACTTATACTGTTATGTCTCTTACTAATCAATAAAACATAAAAATAGACAGGGTTGTGTCATTTATTGTATACCTACCCTATATTTTATATAGCCTTTTCATTACTATTTTATTTGCTGTATACTGTTTTGTTTAATATATTGACTAAACTATTTACTATTACTTTTCAATGTATCATATATTTACTGTTTGCACTGTACTGTAGTTGTACCATATCATATTACCATAGATAAAGGATCTATTAGTTATCTTTGTTATTGCTGAAATCAATCGGGTCAACCACAGAAAATGCTTTCTCTACAACAAGAAAACTATCGCAGCAACGCTCAAAAGCGGCCAATATGTATTTACAATGTCTATGCTTTTGCATTTTGCACTTTCTTATCTCTCAAGGCATCGACAACACCGCTGACAGGTAAATCCTATAGACTGTAAGGTAAATACATGTGTGAGAGTTCAGTCTGCCTTAACATTGGTCCCGCTATGCCACGATGCCATCAAGCGGTGTCTCTGGTCGTAATCAGTCCTTCACTGACCAATCAGCCTCCATTAGCAGAATGCTAGCGTGTTATGGGCAACAACAACTCAACCTGTAAGAAATCAAAATGACAGAAGTACTCGTTCATTCAACTTTCGACCTATAACCCATGTTGGACTTGCAAAACCTACATTCAAATTTTAGATTTTTCAATGACAATCGGGTGAAAGAGACAAATTTAGCTGTTTAGCCCCATAGACTCCCATTCATTTTGCACTCCGACTATTGCCCCCAGTGGAATTTTGGTGGAACTACAACCAAAAATTCGTTACAATGGGGCTTAATAGGGAGTGAACAGGCTTTCCGTAGACTGGCTTTGACAGAACTTTGAACCATTTATGCATTTTATATATTTAAAACATGTAAAACATCCGCGTTAGCACATCGCCTAGGCTGCTGCAGGGTTCGTTTTCAAAATGTAAATGTAAGAAACTTATCCAAGATGATTATGACGATGTGTACTATTATTTAACTGAAGTTATGATTACAAATGCCTTTAATTTGAAGTATTTTTATCCGCCGGGATGATAGAATTGACGTCATTACGTGATGACGTAAAAGAACTGGTGAACCGGTTCATTAAAACGAACTGTCCGAAAGAACCGGTTCACGGAAAAGAACCGGACTTCCCATCACTACGACAACGATATGGCGCAACCAAACTGCACGTTAACTAACACCGTGTCCTAACTACACGCGCCGCGACACGCGATAAAAGGTATCTTTTCCATGTTAATCAGAGTTTTTGTCCTAACCAGACGCGACGGCGACACGCGAAGTTTCTAATTTAGAAACGGTTCCTATTTCTGCGACGACGCGGCTGACAGAATGAAGAAATTACACTGGTTATGAGTACACATTATTTATTTTTAGTTAAAAATAGGTCACTGTGCCACAAGCGATAACGGATAATTTACCTCAGATTTTGAAAGCATGTAATATAGCGTTCAAAATGAATTCTATGCAAATACGACTGTACTTCATAACAAAATTAGTCAATGAGTATATTTTGTTAATGTTTTGATTTTTAATAATGTTATTTCTTGATTTGATTATGTCCTTACCCATATTCAATGCGAGTGCGGGCCAACAGTGCGCTTTCACAGAGAGACTCCACTCACACGCTGTTCTGAATGTGTGGCATCTCACAGTCGTGTCGCGTCTAGTGTGGACAGACCCACTTGCTGTCGCTGGAATTTTATCGCGTCGCGTGTAGTTAGGACACGGTGTTACATGATTGCCTGTTAGCGTGTCACTCCCTACGACGCTAGGTTACCAGAGAGTGAGTGCCTTTGTTAATGCAACCAAACTTGCTTCGCAACCTGTGGTTTCTTCCAACGAAGAAAAAAAAATCTGACGTTTTATAGAACACATTTTTTATTGATGTCGATCACGTGTCTTATCGCGATACATATCGTTATCGTGTTATCGCTCAGCCCTAACACGAAGTGAATGCCAGCAATCATTCAGTCAGTGACGAATTAATAAAAACATTATTAACTTAAAGGGTTAGTTCACCCAAAAATGAAAATTAAGTCATTAATTACTCACCCCCATGCTGTACCAACCCCGTAAGACCTTCGTTCATCTTCGGAACACGAATAAAGATATTTTTGATTGAATCTGAGAGCTGGATCAGTCCTAGATAGACTGCCTAAGGGACTGGCTCTTGACGACCCATAAAGTCATTAAAGAAAAGGTTTAAATATTCCATGTGCCTACAGCAGCTCAATTATAAGTTTATCAAGCGACGAGACTACTTTTTGTGCGAAAAAAAACATAAATAACGACTTTATTCCACTATTCCATTACTTCCTTATGGGCGCATGCGCGAGAACTGAGACGAGGACGTTCTCATTTGTCTACTTTTTGTTACCGGCTGCTCACCGCTTAGGAGTTTTACCGCCACCTACCGTATAAAATGATGATCCATATATAAGGCGCTCCGGATTATAAGGAACACTGTCGTTTTTTGAGAAGATTAAAGGCTTTTAAGTGCACAGCGCGCATCTTCCTCTGCTTGTAAACAGAAAGTTTTGCGCTTCCAGCTATATCAGCACATCATCTTATACGGTAGGTGGCGGTAAAACTCCTAAGCGGTGAGCAGCCGGTAACAAGAAGTAGACGAATGAGAACGTCCTCGTCTCAGTTCTCGCGCATGCGCCCATAAGGAAGTAATGGAATAGTGGAATAAAGTCGTTATTTATGTTTTTTTTCGCACAAAAAGTAGTCTCGTCGCTTGATAAACTTATAATTGAGCCGCTGTAGGCACATGGAATATTTAAACCTTTTCTTTAATGACTTTATGGGCCGTCAAGAGCCAGTCCCTTAGGCAGTCTATCTAGGACTGATCTAGCTCTCAGATTCAATCAAAAATATCTTTATTTGTGTTTCGAAGATGAACGAAGGTCTTACGGGGTTGGAACAGCATGGGGGTGAGTAATTAATGACTTAATTTTCATTTTTGGGTGAACTAACCCTTTAATGAAACGATACACAATGGTAGTTTAAGTTTGCGCTTAAAACTATATTTACCTTTTTTGAAATAATCCATTAAACCTGCTGAGAAACGAACTAGAATGAGCACTTCCATGCGCATGCCCAGGAAACTCATGAATATTAATATAGGCTCTGCCCACTGCCTCTACAGATGCACAACTCACTTTTGCCGCAGCTGGAGTTATGTACTAGTGTTTGTGCTAGAAAAATGTACTAGACGTTTGTGAGAAAATATTCTACAAGTGTGCAACTCTCATTGGATGAATTCACATACTGATTTGCGGATGAGCAGCAACTGTAGCAAAAATGTGAGCATACGAGATTCATAATTTGTGATTTGTAGAATAGGATTTGTGCACCTGCAATGAGGAATTTGAGAAGGTGTAACTGTTGTGTTGTGTTTGTGGAAGAGAAAAAAAAGTCTACAAGTTTGCAACTCTTAAAACATTTCTCTCTGTGACTTCATTTTTACTTGAGGTTATTCTCTACAACTACAAATTCCACTGTCACAGGCATTCAGTTGTTTTGCACTAAAAATACCTTCATATGATCCGTCTTTTTTCATTTGCACGTCGTCAGGTAACACTAATTTGCCCTGTTTAGTAAATCTGGCCCTATGTCTAATCTACGTCTCTTTCTCTAAATCCCAGCATACTCCTTTGTTTTGATGTAAGTGGATTGATGTACTTGCACTTTTTGTCTTGTTTCAGGTGGCATATACCTTTGATGCTGGTCCTAATGCTGTTATTTACACCTTGCAAGAGCATGTATCAGAGTTTGTACAGGTGGTTCGTCATTTCTTTCCCTCAGAAACCAATGGATCAGAGTAAGTTGCTAAAATCATGCATGCTGTAAATATTTATACTTTGACATTAAAACATACACTGTAGCTCTTCACAAAACAAAGCACATCAAGTTATAACTCAACGCAGTAACTTGCAGTAATTTGCAGCTTTGTCAGAGGTCTTCCTGTATGTTCAGCTGACCTCTCGGAGGAGCTGAAGAGGGACCTTAATATGGAGCCAACTCCAAAGGGCATACACTACATAATCAGCACTAAGGTAAGTGTCTGGAAACTGCATTAACTGTAAGGCACATTCATCTATAATCTAATAGTTCTTTAAAAATAAATAAAATACCTTGTTTGTCTTACTATATTTATGTAACCCTTATTGAATTCTATGTCAGTCCTTAATGGTGTTGCATGCATGACCTGATTTATCATAATTGCTGCATAACCTGTTTTAAGGCTGGTCCTGGACCATGTGTGGTGGAGGATGATCCAAACCATCATTTGTTGGGTGTTGATGGGCTGCCCAAGAATGCAGTTTCAGATTAACCTTAAAGATCCTTTTAGAACTAAAAAAAAAAAAAAAAAGATGTTGCATAAATATATACTAAACTTTGTAAATATGTTTTAATATTAATTGTTGTCTAAAGAGAACATTTGCTCTAAATAAAATAATGATTTTTAATGATGACATGATTTGTCTTTTTGTATGGTCTACAAAAGGGGATTTTTGTCTTTGTTTCTATTTAGAAGCATCCATAAATACATGTATGTCTATGGTTTCACTTGGATATATGCGACAAAAGGGGGGAAAAAAGTAAACTTTCATTTATTGCTGATGAGTGTGTTTTTCAATCGGAAGGCTGCTTCCTAGGCCATGTCCACACTAATACGTTTTCGTTTGAAAACGTATATTTTTCTCTCCGTTTTGGCCTTCCGTCCACACTGAGACGCCGTTTTAAGTCAACAAAAACGTATGGTTTGGAAAACGCTCTCCAAAGTGGATAAACTTGAAAACGCCGTTTTCGCGTTGTAGTGTGGACAGTGAAACCGGAGGTATTTCAAAACGATGACATAAGTTTAGTCATGTGATCCATGTAGTACCAATAGATATTCATGTTTATCGGTATTGTGCCTATTATTCATTTTTACACTATTGCTAAAATATGTTACTTTCCATGTTACTTAATATGTGCTATTCTTCATAGCACAGTACTGCAAAGATAACTGATTATGTAGTCTACTCACATTTGCTGTCCTGCGGCAAAGCAGTTGCGTTTTAGACCAAACATATGGTGACTGAATGCGACCTGGACGCATCCGTGATGGTGAGATATTTTGCTAAATAAAATTATCCTGTTATTGTGCGATGACATTATTATTTATTTTCCCATCTGTATCATCTCGGTGAGCTTTTGTGAAGTTTCACGCATGCGCAGTAAAGTGAATTTAGAAGTTTCTCATCCACACTGAAACGTCGGAAAACACCTGAAAACGCTAGTGTGGACGGAGAGCGTTTTTAAACGAAAACCCCGTTTTCAAATGTATCCGGATTAATGTGGACGTAGCCCTAGTAAGGCTGCATATCTCAGCTGCCAAGTCATCACAATTCTTTGCACACACTCAGATCTCGAAAAAGAATCAGCATAAAGGCGTCCTTTATCTGAGCCTATGCACCTACATTTTTGACTAAAACAAAAAGCATTATTTGTGGGTAATTTGGCAATATTGAATAAAATTTAAAAATGTATCACACTAGTGTGCTTTGTTGTTTAGGAAGCTTGTTTTTTTAAATGCTTGTACAATCTTGTACAAAATGGTACAAAGTCACACCTGTGGTGTTCCCAGTCAACAATGTCCAGCCAAGAAAATAGCATAGCTTATAATATTCATTTCATTTCATCTTTATTGTCAGACTCAAGGTCCATTAGAACACCACACACTACAAACACCCAAACACCTTAAAATTAAAATAACAACAAAAAAAAAGAAAACAGAATTATAAAAGACAGTTATACCAGTTCTTCCACAGAGGTAACTGGTAACGCACAACACTTATACTAGGATTAGTCAGTAGCTTAATAATGCCATTCTGAGAGCTATCCAGTCAACCAATAAATTTGTACATCAGGTTTCTCATTACAAAAGGTTTCCCTGGCTTTATAGCCTGGAACGTGTCGACTCTTGCCTTACAGAACAAGTCACTTGCACTACACCACCTGGGTTTTTTAAGCAATATCCGCATACAATCATTATAGGCCACCTGAAGCTTATGTTCGGTGGCCTTTTTAAACTTGACCCACAGTGAGGCTGTGTAGAGTGGAGTACAGTAGGCTTGAAAAGGCCTTATCTTAACAGAGTCAGAACACATGGAATTTTCTTGCTAACATGTTAGCTTGAGCATAAAGCATACGACACTGCCTATACATGTCATCATCATCAGACAATTGATCTGTGAGAAAGTGCCCCAGATATTTGGTTTTTTTACAGTTACTTAGGGCTTTGCCTGATAAATAAAATACTGGAAAATTGAGGTCTTTATCTCCTTTTGTTCTGCATATCATGACCATACTTTTCTTTGCATTATACTGCACATCATATTTGAGCCAATAATCGGAACATATATTCAGCAACTGTTGAAGTCCAGCACTGCTAGGAGAGACAATAGCCAGATCACCGGCATACATAAAATGATTTATTAGCGAAATTTCCAATCATACAATCAGTTTTGCCGCCTCTTAGTTGTTCTGATAAATCATATACAGGTTAAAAAGGGCTGGGGAGAGTAACCCCCCTTGTCGTACTCCGTTACCAACCCTAAACGAAGCAGAGGCTCTATTACCCCATCTGACCTGACCTGTATACTCTGGTTAGCATACCAGTATGCCAGGATTCTTATCAAGCTGTCAGACACGCCCCTTAATTTCATTTTCAGAAACAGCTTCCGATGATTGACTCGGTCAAAAGCTTTAGAGGCATCTATAAAACCAATTAAAACTGAGGAGTTTTGCCTCCTATACACTTCAACTACTTATTTTAAGGCATAGATACACAAATCAGTACCATGCTTAGCTTTAAAGCCAAACTGGTTGTCTGTGGTATCAATATACTCACTCCGATGATCTAATGAGATCCTCTCTAAAACTTTAGATAACACACTAGCAAGTGCAATAGGCCTATAATTCTCCATGCTTCCAACCTTGCCAGCCTTGTCTTTAATGACAGGTACAAGAGTAACAGCTAACATCGAGTCAGGTAACATTCCATGGGTCATAAAGCCATTAAAGCTAAAGGCAAGAAGGGCTGCAACCTTTGGGGTTGCATACTTAAGATATTAAGATAAGATACTTAAGATAAGATATTATTAAGATAAGATATAATAAATATTCAATCAAGATTCATTCTTTTTGTCAACTTGTTTTCTTTCAATGGGCTCTATGCACGGCGGTATTTCCGGTGAAGCATTAGGGATGCTCGATAACTTCCGCCGATCGTAGAGTCCAATGCAATACCGAGAATTTATATTGAATTTTATACTCCATGGTTAAAGAAACGTTAGTCACAAAAACAGATAAAACAGACACCCCTCGTTGTGTTTATGCTTCTTTTTAAAATTATATTAAATAAATATAACTATATATAAAATTACATCTAAACGTATGTACGTTTCATTTCAAAGATTGGAGGACAGTAAATTTTGAAGACTGCCATAATCCCGTTTTCCTCGGTGTTCCTCCGCTTTAATCTCAACCGGAAATGGACGAGCATCCTTACGTCAAATGCGGAATTTATGCGTGCATATAGCCCATTAGGACAGGTTTTGTATTTATTTTTTTAAACTGACTGATCGTAGGCCTCATCTGAGTCAAAAATGACCATCCATTTAAAATGAATGGGGGAGATAAAATAAGAGAAACATATGGGCCTGGTGAAACCTGGTTTAGATTTAGATTTAGAATAGATTTCTTTAGTTCAATTAGGACATTTAATTAGCTTTTATAAAAATGCCTTAAAGTGTGCATATTGAGTCAAAACAATGACACTGACATATTTTAAGATATAGCAGTGCAAGTTGCTTTTATTTAAAACCGCTCAAACGTGCATTTTAGTCTGGAATTAGGCTAAAACTAGTCTGTGTTTTCAGGAGCATGTTCATCATATTCAAAGTCACATATGTATGGGTGTTTGCAAAGATAAGGTCTTGGACCTGTGTATGCGTGATGGATATACATAGCCTACACGTACATTATTGCAGTCCAGACGACGGATGGACGGACATACACACACACACACACACACACACACACACACACACACACACACACACACTACTGTAGTCCAGACGAGGTTTAGCGTGGAAATATATAAATTATATCCCACACTTCAGACCTCGGTAAATTCTGGCAATCAGACGTCATAACTCACGTTCACATGTTGTCCACATGATGTCGCTACGATACAACGAGAGCATGTCGTGTTTTTGTTTTGTTTTGTTTTTTGCGTCAATTATGGCACAAAAACAAAAAAACTGAACAAAAACATCATAGCATCGCTTTGAAAGCAGCTGACGAAAAGCACAAACAAACATAAACTTAATCTAAATAGACCCTTCTCATTTTAAATTTGTAATTAATTGACTACTTTTTCTTGCCAAATTTTATATTCACAAATGTAAATTTCCAAAAAAATAAATTAAAAGTAGCCTATAAAAATTCTTATTTTTAAGAAATAATTGGATATGTAAATAAACTCCGTTAAGAAATCTAAAAACTAATACATGTACTGTCATGGTGTAAAACATTATTGAATATTACTTTTTTTTGTCCTTTTTTTTTTTTTTTTTACTGTTGCATAATAAAAATAATTAAACTCAATGTTAAATTGACTAAATCCCGAGCTGTCTGGAATGCAACATTACTAGAACGTTTCATTCCAGCGTTTATATAGCCTATAGAGGACCTTAAAGTCCTCTATTTCATTGAAACACAAACGAGAGCTGGAAGAGAGCAATTCGATTTTAGACTCGACCTCAGCTCGCTTGACCAAAAAGAATGTTTTTGCTGTCGTCCCTCATGTGGTCTCTTCTTTATTGACATGTCCAATCTGGCGCTTTAATTTGCCTTAACGAATTTACTGAATAATAAGATTAAATTCAATTCACATTTATTTGTATCAGCGCTTTTCGCATATCGTTTCACATAGAAAATGCATGTCTATAAATTACAATTAGTAATCTGTTATCAGAGATGACTGTCCAAGTAATGTACACAAACCACGCAGTTAGCTAATGTATTAATTTACGGCAGGAATAATGAGCTCAGTTATTATTATAAGTTGTGAACAATGATTACAATATGTGGAAAATTTAGCATAGGTGGAGCATGTTGATTCAGAGTCATCTCTGCGTCATCTCTTCTCGCAGGAGTAGCGCAAAGTAAAAGCGGAAGTGATGAAATGAAAGGGTTGGGGTTATGAAACACTGGCCACTACCGACTTCTATTATAGAATTAAGTTGAAAATATACTTCATTTATCAGTGTCAGCACGCACTCAAGTGGCCATGGGGAAGATTGAGTGGGCTATGTGGGCTAACGAGCAAGCTCTGGCTGCTGGACTCAGTAAGAACATGCATACTCGAATTATTTATCTCATTCTGTTTTTGTGTGTGTGTGTGTGTGTGTGTGTGTGTGTGTGTGTGTGTGTGTGTGTGGCTGTCTGAAGCATTTAAACGAGGAAGTTGCACTTACATTAATATTTGAATACTACACAACTAAAGGTTTTAACGTAGGCTATACAACTGTAAGCGATCGTTCATTGCGTGATTGTTTTGTTTGTTTGTTAATTAATTATTGTAGGACCTATAGCCTAACCTGTTATTTATATTAAAACCAAGAAGTTCATTTTCAGTAGGCTATGAAAGAACACTGTTTTGACTATAAGTAGGCTACTATTTTTATCTTAAAAATAAATGTCAGTTAATGCAGGCTTGTGTGAATATATATAAAATATATAAGTAATATATAGAACATGATAAAACATGATGGCATTAAAGTTTTTTCCTGTTGCAGTTTATGCGACTGGTGGAATCGTCGGAGTTGCCGGTCAGTTCAGAGGCTGGCAGTTTGCAGCGTTCGGCATGTATCCTTACAACCTCTGCAGGGATCTTTCCTATAAATTGCTTTGATTTTTCGTTTTCTTTTCCTCATTTGTTCTTTTAGTCTTTCGGGTGATAAAGTAGCCTACCATTTTATTTTTTATTTTATTTTTGTAGTAAATTTCCTAAGTTTCTATAGTGTCTACATTTATATCCTTTACTGTGATAGTGCTGCCGGTGTGTTTGTGTGTTTGCTTGAATATCCGCGCAGCAAACGGGGCAAAGGCACCAGCGTTGAGAGAACGTAAGTGTTCTTTAATATATCAATCTGACCTTATTTGAGATTGTATGTAATTAAAGGAAGTACAGCCTGGTGATTTCACCACACCATAGAAACATTTTGGGCTGAGTCATTTGTATAATGAAAACTTCATTGTGTGCATCATACACTTTTCTTGGAAGGCTTTTTGTTTATATATATATATATATATATATATATATATATATATATATATATATATATTATTTTTATTTTATTTAATTTTTTTATCTATTTATTTATTTATTTTTTTAGTGGTCAGTATTGCTTCACAGTGTGTGTGAAGGCTTTTGGACCCCTGACCAGAAACTATTACATCAGAGCGTTCTTGCATGCTGCGTAAGTATGTCGAGTGTTCTTCTGTCGGGTGTTGTCATGTGTCCTTGAACTTTTATTGTTGCAGGATAAGACAGCATCTTACCTGTGTTTCTGTGTATGTTACCCTGCAGGCTGTGTATTCCTGGAGGGTTCATGTTAGCCACAGTTCTGGGAAGTGTGTGTCTAGCAATTGCCAGTTTAATCTACCTTTCGGTAAGTTCCTCCAAATAAATCCAAAATAATTCAGCGACTGAATGAATGTGAATGCAACCACAACTAAAAGAAGATAGGAAACTAAAAGATCTTATTGTGTCATGCTCAGATGCTTCCTCTTGTAAAATCCCCCTTTTCACTTTCAAACTGTTACAGTGAACAGTTCAACCAACATGAAAACTCATTTGCTCACCCTCATGTGGTTTCAAACTCATATGATGTTATATGTTGTCCATATGCACATTCTGTGAAGTTCTACTGAATAAAGAAATGTGAATGATGTAAATTATAAAAGAATGTTGAACTCAAGCTTTAAAAACATATATGGTTCTTTGTGCTGACAAGTGATGCTGAGAGATGTAAGTGTATGATGATCAATCCCACAATATTTTAGTACAGTGTACAGTATTTTACTTCATTAGACTCATAAGAACTGTCATTTAAAGAAGTTTTTGGACAACATCTATGTTTGGATGTATTTGGTTGTGTGGCCATATGGCCTTGGTGTAAAGATTATTCTCATTAAATTCAGCCTTTTGTACATGATTGTACTGGCATCATAGGCAGCTATTCATGGAGAGCATTGGGAGCCAATAGTGCCCCGGACAGAGCCGCCAAAGCGTGTTGGGGAGAGCATCAAAGAACCTCCTCGAAACCCTCCACCTCGACCTCCTCCCGAACTTCGCCGAAAGAAAGTGGATAACTTGGAGTCTGCAGCATATGAAAATCCCATGTCTTTGACCATCAACGAATAAAGATTCCAGTGTGAAAACAGGAGTGAAAACTCCTCCTTAAGGAGGCTTCAGCAACAAGTAATTGTAATATGAAGCATTTATATTGTATAAAAGCACAATATTGAGTTTATTTTATAATATTTTGGGTATGATCTTGATCAATTTTATACATCCCTGTTACTTGCATACATTTTCATTTTTATTGTCACTGATAAGAGGAGTGATTTTTTATGTGAAATCAGTTTTTATCATCTAATATAATAATAGAAGGAAAAATGTGTTTACTTGGCTGCTGTCAAAATGTTAACAGTGATTTTGTTTTTTTTACCTCAAGAGAGAGTACTTACAATAAACTCAGGATTTGCTTCATTTAATTTGGTTATTTATAGAGTTAAAATATTGCTAAGTTTCATTTCCACTTTTTTGTGCTGTGCATATAACCTAATGTGAGTGACTTGTAAACAATTTTAAAAATGTAGGGAAAATTTTCTTTGTGAATGCACCATTCATAACCAAAGAAAATAAATACACAATGGTCATTATGTGATGACGGGGTAAATCATATAAACCACATCTTCATGTTTTTACAATCACTGTTACGCCACAAGGAACAAGGAAGTGTTGACGCAAACAAAGCTTACAGGAGAAAGCAGGCGGAAATTGAGTGATTGTTTCAAGAAATGTGTTTTAGCAAGTCAGAAAAAACTGTAATGTTTAACAGACAAAGTGATTGATCCAACAAATTGGTTTAGGCGATTGAGAATTTGTTTCAGAGCATGGGGTTTATTGTTTTAGCAATTCAGAAAAACTGTAATCATGTTTTCTTTTTGTAAAATTAATTGAAGATCATACACACAGCGAGTCAATATTATAAACACTACAGATATACACTACATAGACTATATATAAAAACACAGAATCCAAAGCATGCAGTTACAGAAAAAAGTATATTATAACAAAGTAAACAAATTTTGCAATTACGTTAAAAAGTATAGTAATGACAATTTAAGGTGACATAAGGTAAGGTGACACTTAAGGTAAGGTGAAATATAGCTGCAAGCAGCCTTTACCAGGGCCAATCGCAAGAAGCGGCAAAAGATGCCATCGTGGGTGGGAGTGACAGATCAACTGCAGCAAGAAGCAATTACAGTTTTTCTCAATTGCTTTGGCTCAGTTCTCAAATGTTTTTTTTATTTCCCAAAACATTAAGTTCATATCTCTGAACAATTCGCTTCTTGTTCACATCAGATTGGAATTTCTTATTGATTTGAGAAAATTGCAAATGTTTTGGCACATGTGTGCAAAGAGTACATACAACTGTCTGCAGTTTGGACAACAAATAATTGTATATGGCTTGTTGATCAAAACTGATGACTCGATTCTCACTTACACTGTCAAACACTTCAGAACTTCTCAGACATTTTTTATTGTGTAAGCCATCACATTCAAAACGATCTATTCAATTATCATAATTAGCATACATGAATGTATATTCTAAAATATATCTGAGATTGACATTGTTTGTAATGTTTGCTAAATTGGCACATGACTTCTAATTGCATTCGCAATCTAATTGCAAATTACCTCTAATATGAATCAACCATTTAACCAATCAACTTTGGGAGTATATATATATATATATATATATATATATATATAGAGAGAGAGAGAGAGAGAGAGAGAGAGAGAGTATATATATATAGAGAGAATATATATATATATATATATATATATATATATATATATATATAGAATGGAGGACATTCGCAACCCTGAACTGCACCAACATACTCATGGAAGAGCAATTGGAAGGCGTGTAAGAATACGTGGTGGTGGTAGAGGAAGAAATAATCGAGGAAGAGGTGGAAATAGAAGAGTTAGAGTCTCTGATGAAATCAGAGCCACACTTGTGGATCATGTCATAAATCTGACCATTGCAGGGGATGGGTGCAGCATTCAAGGAGATTTTTTCCATGGTGTGTGGCAATGGTAACATCAGATGTGATGTTGATGAAAATCTTTGGCCTGACCAACGTGTGCGACAAGATGTCCACCAAGAATAATTTGTTTCTTTTTTTTTTCCATGAATGTTATTTATTGTTTGTGTATTTGTGGTAATACACAAATATGAAATGTAAAGTGAAATTTTGTTACTCTTGTCAGTTACTTTACATGTACAGTCAGTAAATACACTTGTATTGTGTATATACACATGAAGTACAAAAATAAACACTGTAAAAATACAAATGTTCATAGATTTTTTTTCTTTTTTTTCTACATACTATTGACTTTTCTCAACAAATATGAGATTTGTTTACAATAAACCCTTCATTTTCATGGTTGACTGTTGTGGTGAAAAAACAACTAAACATTTTGACCAGTGTGGCTCACACAATGACAAAAATACTTTAGATTTTGGTGGCCTTGGCCAAATCATTGACAAAATAACTAGGTTTTGAAGCATGAATTAAATGTTTTGGGTGAGTAACTACATTTTGCAGACATGCTATAAAGTTTTGAAGTTCCTGCAAACAGTTGTGACATTTGCACTCACAGTTTAGAGAATGTTAAGACTGTTTCGAAAAATGTGCCAAAGCAATTGAGAAAAACTGTAAAGACATTTTTAAGAGAATTTTAGTGAAATGGTTTAAAAATCATATATATTAACTAAAAGTATAATTTAATGGATTATCACTTTCGACCAGTACTGGCGCAGCAATGCATTTAAGTATAGCAATTTACATCACAAAACTGTATTGAAGTCAATAGGAATTTCATATTTTTTTCTATTATATGATAAAATCACACAATTTTTTTTCATGGTTCTTCAGAACGAGCCCATACATGTGTGTGCCAAATTTGTTGAAAATATCTCAAATCGCTTCGGAGTTATAGACATAAATATGAAAAAAATCGTAAAAAATGACTGACACGTGACTTTGATTGAATTTTACTACGCTGTACTATCAATATTTTGGCATCTGGGCATAGGCTAGCCAGTGACCTATGTTTCCAAACTTCTGCTTTTTAAGCTCTAAATCACAACACTACACAAACCGTAAGACGAATCCTAGCATGTTTGGTATCTGTAGACTCGGCAAGGATTCAGGAACCCAAAGACATGACTCCCGTGAAAATAAATCAACCACACCCAGATTTATAAGCATTTGAAAAATAATTTTTACCACTAGGTGGTGCTGTTTCGAAACTTCTCAGGATCCTTCAAGGCATTGTACTGATGATCCATACCGTGTTTTGTAACAATTCGTTCATGCGTTAAAAAAATACAGCATTTTAGCACATAACTCAAAATGGCTGATCTGGGAAAATTGGAATTCAGTCGATTTGGCATGATGCCCTGAATCTAACGAGACCACTTTTATAATTTTTGGACAAACTGTTGAGAAAGTTATGAGCAAAAATAGCCATTTTTCATATCTCCAAAACAGTAGGTGGCGCTGCACCGAAAAGCAGCATGTATCCTCAGGTCATGCTTGTGATGACATGTACCAAGTTTGTTCTGAATCAAGGGGGTAATCCATCGACCGGAAGTTGAAGCCTCGCGGGAGCTGACATCTTGTAGCAGAACTTCACTTGCGTTAGCATTCCCATTGACTCCCATTCATTTTGGCGTCACTTTGACAGCGAATAACTTTACATCTGAGGCGTTTGAAGACCCCATTTGTCCTTTATTTATTTCTAAAGAAACACGACAATGTATAAATAGCTCCATTACCATGTAGCTTATGTTATGGCCCCGTAGAAGCAGTTTTAGTGAAAGTAGGCTAACGATTGCGTCATACCCACGCGACTCTCTGTCGCACAGTGGAGAGATTACCGTATGGACAGGAGGAGAAGCTCGCGCGCAATCGGGGAAACGTGGAGGCAAAATGACAAAATAATTAACCGCCTCTGCATGTTTCGGAAGGGAATGATTCAGATTTCTCATGCCACAGCACTAGAAGACAGACGGGTCACTCATGTCCCACTACGTAGTCAAGCTCTGTTTGAGTCTGCACGTCAGGGACGGAAGTGCTAAAAAAATCGCCAAAAACGGGCTTCAATCGTCTCAATGGAGTTCCAATGAGATTGCTCTGTCCATTTCTTTTACAGTCTATGGTCTGAATATGTGACCTGCTCTGGCGAAATGAGTCGGAAGTGGCAACGTTCCATTGTAAGATATGGGCCGATTATGTGAAAAAACAATGAAATAACAAAAAAAAATGTTTTGCTAATTTCAAAGAACAGACATTCAAAAATAATCTCCCAAAGTTTCATAGTCCAGATAACTGAGTAATGGTATTTAAATGACGATTAAAGTTTTCAAAGCTTTACTAAATTCGCTGAAATAAACATTGCTCTTCTCAACTCCCCTAGTCACCTCTGAGCATTTCCCGGGTATCCCCTGAAACATTGAACTCAAAGTGTTGAAATCACTGGAGGCTTCTAGCCTAAGCTGTGTGAGTATATTTATCTGCAAGAAGAATACATTTAAGGCTGTATCGATCACGACACTCAGATCCATGAACCTGTGTCGCAGTGTGAGAAGACAGAATCACGACACACCCCTCCAACTCCCAGAGTTATCATTTCCATCCAGACCCAATGCTACCACATCTTTAAATTACTATTAGTATTATTTGTATAAATTTTTATAATAGGATAAAGTTAACATTATAAAATACATAGACCTAGACAAAACTAGTTAAATTATTACTAAATTGGGCCATTTCAGCGTAATCGAGGTGACATTTGTAGTCAAAAATTCCCAGATAATTAAATCTTTTAATAAATAGGCCTATGTGAATTACACTGCACAAACCAAAAGTAATCCTACCCACCGGATGAAGAAGGGTTGACTCTTTTGTGCTCTTTTTTGCAAGAAAATGATATCTATGAAAAATTCCAGTCAGGATTCAGGCCGCATCATAGTACGGAAACTGCGCTAGTTAAAATTACAAATGATTTACTTTTAGCTTCTGACCAAGGCCGTATCTCAATACTAGTCCTACTTGATCTTAGTGCTGCGTTCGACACTATAGATCATAAAATACTCTTGGATCGACTACAAAACTACACTGGTGTCCAGGGACAGGCATTAAGCTGGTTTAGATCGTACTTATCGGACCGTTATCATTTTGTCTGTTTAAATGGGAAAAAATCAAAGATAACGTCAGTAGACTATGGAGTACCGCAAGGATCGGTTTTAGGCCCTCTGATATTCTCAATATATATGCTGCCAGTTGGTAATATTATAAGAAAACATGGAATTAATTTCCACTGTTACGCAGACGACACTCAATTATATATTTCATCACGTCCAGATGAAAACACTAACTCATCTAAAATGACAGAGTGTCTCAAAGATA